TGATGCAGATTGCTCTGCTCGCTTGACGACGCTCGGCCCTGGTGCTCCGCTGAACCACCCCACCCCCTCCCCATGCTTGCAGCCTTTTCCCCGGCGGGTGTGTCCGGTCCGCGCTGCCGGCAGTTCTGCTGGTGCAGTGACCTGCGGTGGTGCCCGGCGGCTGACGGCCGGCCCGACCCCCGCTAGCGCCGCGCCGCGCAGGCCGCCGGTAGTGCTGACCGCTCGGCGCCGACTCCCGCCCGCCGCCGGCGACGCGCCGCGCCGCGCCGGCCGCCGCCAGTACTCACCGCTCGGCGCCGACTCCCGCCCGCCGCCGGCGCCGCGTCGACGCCGTTGGACCGACGGCGCACGACTGACGCCGACGTCGAGCCGACGACCGTGGCGCGGGTGCGCGCCGACGGCCGGAGGCGGCCGCTGCCGGCCCGCCCGGCCGATGGCCCGTGCCGACCCGGCCGGTGCTGGCCGGAGCCGGGCCCTGGCTGGGGCCGGAGCCGCGCCCTGGCCTCGCCAACATACCCCTGGTCACACCCGCCATCGTGCAGCCAGATCAGGGGTGTATTTACGCCGGAATTTTCGGACATGCCATGGCATGGCGTGTGCCCGTACGGGTATATCGTTTGCGTATAGCTATTTGCTGCTCAGAGGCTGCTCCTCGAACATCTGTGGTATCGACCTCGACTGACCTTGGCCGGCCCTGATCTGGCTCGGCTAGTGCCGGCCAGCGTAGCCCTGCTAATTGGGCTCAACTGCCACTCTAATGAGGAGACGAGTCACTGGCCGTGAAATCACCGCCCGTCGGCGGCCGCACCATCCGCCAACGAGACACGGTGGGGCCGCTCATCAGGTGTACTGGGACACAGTGGAGCCGCTCATCTGCTGTGCTGAGACACGGCAGGAGGCGCTCATCAGGTGTACTGAGACGCGGTGAAGCCGCTCATCTGTTGTACTGAGACACGGTGGAGCCGCTCATCTGGTGTACTGAGACACGGCAGGAACCGCCCATATGTTGCACTGAGACACGGCAGGAGCCACTCATCTATTGTGACTGAGGACACTGGGCGGATCTGTTGTGCTGGGGAGCACGGCGGAATCTGTTGTACTGATACATGGCTGAAGCCGCTCATACTGTTTGGTACTGAGACACGAGTGGATCTGTTGTACAGATACACGATTGGATCTTTTGTACTGAGACACGCACAGGAGCCGGTCATCTGTTGTACTGAGACACCGGTGAGGAGTCTGGTTTGTACTGAGAACACGGACAGGAGTCTCGTGTCATCCGTTGTACTAGACACGGTGGATCTGTGGTACTGAGACACGGCAGGAGCCGCTCATCGTGTACGTAGACACGGATGGATCGGTGGTACTGAGACACGGCGAGGAGCCGCTCATCTGTACTTAGACACGGTGGATCTAGCCGTATTAAACGTTGCCTACCTGACCTGCTCATCTAGTGCATAGAGCCACTCACCGAGACCTGCAAATAAAGCAAGCGGACGAGCTGCCCGACGTGAAGGAAGATAGAGGCGAAAGTGTTTTCAAAATCTAAGAACACATTCTTCCATCAAAATGCACAGGGAAATATCAAATTATGGACACCCGCTTCGACTTTGCTGGATCATGCCCTGGTTTCGTTGTCCTTCCACCACTCTGACCCGCCCGTACTTGGTGCTCAATTGATTGGTGAAAATGACAAGGCAAAGAAACGCGAGCCCGTCACCGGTCAATGGTGGTGATCCGCCCTTACCGACCGGTGTCCTGGTGCCGGGGGCGGGGTCAGCCATCCCTTACCGACCGTGCCTGGTGCAGGGGGTGGGGGGGGGGGACAGGCCGCCCTTACCGGCACGGTGTCTGGTGCCGTAGGGCGGGGGTCAGCCATCCTTACCGACCGGTGCCTGGTGGCCGGGGCAGGGGGTACAGAGCCCCTTCCGGACCGGGCCTGGTGCCGGGGCGGGGGGTCAGGCCGTCCTTACCGACCGGTGCCCTGGGTGGCCGGGGCGGGGGGTGGGGGGGGTGAGGGGAAGCCGCCCTTACCAACACGGTGCCTGGTGCCCCCCCCAGGGGCCGGGGGGTCAGAGCCGTCCTTACCGACCGGAGCCGTGGTGCACGGGGCAGGGGGTCCAAGCCGCCCTTACCGACAGGTGGCCTGGTGCCGGGGGCGCGGGTCAGCCGTACTTACTGACCGGTGCCTGGTGCCGGAGCGGGGGGGGGGAGGGGGGGGGGGGGCGGGGAGAGGGGGGGAGCGGGGCGGGGGGGGGGGGGGGGGGGCGGGGGTCAGCCGTCCTTACCGACCGGTGCCTGGTGCCGGGCAGGGGGTCCCGCCCTTACCGAGCAGGTGCCTGGTGCCGGGGCGGCGGGTCAGCGTCCGTCCTTACCGACCGTGCCTGTTGCCGGGTCAGGGGTGCCCTGGTTGGTGGGGGGGGCGGGGAGAGGGGGGGAGCGGGGCGGGGGAGGGGGGGCGGGGGTCAGCCGTCCTTACCGACCGGTGCCTGGTGCCGGGGCGGGGGTCAGCCGTCCTTACCGACCGGTGCCTGGTGCCGGGGCGGGGGTCAGCCGACCTTACCGACCGGTGCCTGGTGCCGGGGCGGGGGTCAGCCGTCCTTACCGACCGGTGCCTGGTGCCGGGGCGGCGGTCAGCGCAGGCTACCGCTCGGCAAACGGGAACAAATAACACGAGTCTTTGTATTGTGCTGATGAAAGGCATCACGTAGCATTCTTGACAGCATCATGGCGTTGTATGAAAGAAAATGACGAAAATACCGCTTCTGCTGCGGCAGCTGTGGTATGGTTTGGCTGCCACTGAGCTGGTATGGAATAATTTTGTCCGACTAGGTCGAGATATGACTGCTCCATAGCTGGCTGGCAGTGGACGTTTCAAAGCCGCCGTTACGAACCCGTTTAATGATTTCCCCGCGATCAATCGGCCCCATAAAAGTATCCAAGTCTTGACGCTGTCTCCTTGTGAACTGCGTGTAAATATCGGGTTCTGTTTTCTAGGAATTAAAATCATCGCAAACTTTTTTCACCAGCATGTACGAACATGGGCTTTTGTGACTACAGCCTATAGGTGTTTGAAACCGTACGCCAATCGAGTAACGTTATGCTCCTTTCCACGCTTGTGTTGCCCCTTGCCGGGCTGCTCTGTGCGATGTTTACTGAGTGCGACGGCTGTCCTCAGGCGCTGTCGGTGCGGTGGACACAGCGCAGTCTGCTGGAGCTGCAGCGCGCCCGGCCGCAGCTGCGGCGCGAGGCCCACGCCCCGCACGAGGGCGAGGACTCCGCGGACGGCCAGGAGGACGCGTCGCGGCGGGAGGAGGACTCGCGGCGGCAGGAGCCGGACTCGCTGGACCAGGAACGCGACCGGCTACAGGCGGAAGTTCGCCGGCTGCGGGACTGGCTGGAGGACACCTACCGGCAGCAGCTGCAACAGCTGGACAGCCGGCTGCGACGGCAGCGGGACGACATACTGCAGGTGACATACTGTGACACATGTCGGCGTCCGACCGGCGTCGGCGCGCACCGCCCGGCGGCGGCGGACCCGCCGTGTTTGTGTGGGGCGTGAGGGCGGCACGACCCGATCGAGTTTTTGCTCCAACACTGCTGGCGTCCTGTTCCCCTCTTCTCGGGCTGTAATTTATTGTCCCTGTGCAATAATATCTCTCTCAGTTGTTCCTCCCGTTGTGGGAGCTATTGATGGGTTTCTTTGCCGGTTTTTTGCCGGAGTTGTTTTCCTGTCGTTGCCGGTGAGGCATATCTCCAGCTTGTTTGTTGATTGGTGGGGCCCTGTGGTTTGTGCCGTTTTTTATGTTTTGTCAGCCTCATTGACTGATATGTTCACTGTGTAAGTTTCCACCATGGCGTCGCTGCTACCCCATTTGTGGTTGGCCAATGCGTGAGTAATATCGTGAGCTATATTTGCTATTTGCGTTGGTTTATTTAGTGGATGCCTGCCGTCTGTTTGGATTGTGGGTTGCCTAGTATGTGTAGTTGTAACGCTAGTTTTCAATGCGTGACATGCCCGTATCACGTGGCATGTCCGCGTTCCGTATCTGTTCAATAAATAGCTGCCTGCTCCTTGTTTTGTTCAGGGTATGACTTTGTCTACGGCTGGTGTCTGTTAAGAAACTGCTCCCGCCGTGTGCGTGTGCGTATGCGTGCGCGCTTGCGTGCGTGCGTGACATCTTCACCGCCTACATCTGTTCAAAGAGTTGTTGTCTGCCGCCCATGTTTGGTTAGTGCGTGCCTGCGTCTACCTCGCCATGTCTGTTCCGTGTATACCTGCGACTTCCTCGCCGTTTCTGTTCAGTGCGTACCTGCGTCTACCTCGCCATGTCTGTTCAGTGTATACCTGCGTCTACCTCGCCGTGTCCGTTCAATGCGTGCCCGCGTCTACCTCGCCGTGTCTGTTCAGTGCGTACCTGCGCCTACCTCGCTGTTTTTGTTTAGTGCGTGACGGCGTCTACCTCGCTGTGTTCGTTTAATGCATGTATGCGCCTGCCCGCCGTGTCTGTCGCCATGTCTGGTCAGTGCGTGCCTGTGTCCACCTGGCCGTGTCTGCTCAGTGCGTGACGACGGCGCTCGCCGCCTCTGTTTGTACAGTGCGTGCCTGTGTCCACCTGGCCGTGTCTGCTCAGTGCGTGACGACGGCGCCCGCCGCCCTTGTTTGTACAGTGCGTGCCTGTGTCCACCTGGCCGTGTCTGCTCAGTGCGTGACGACGGCGCCCGCCGCCCTTGTTTGTACAGTGCGTGACGACGGCGCCCGCCGCCCCTGTTTGTACAGTGCGTGAGGAAGTGTCGCGGGGATTACGGCCACCGGGCGCCGGCTCCTGCCGTCTATTCCTGTCTGCGGGCCCACGCCGCTCTCCCACTGCAGCCGCTCTCACTCCGTCGGCCTGGAGCCCGGCCGGCCGGCGCTGACGCAGTGCGGGGCCGACCGGGCGTCCGCACGCCCCTCCCGCCCCGTCGCCACCCGGGAGGTCGCCGCCGTCGTGGCTGCGCCAGCGATGACGTCATGTGTCTGCCCGCAGGTGGAGGCTGACCTCCGGCAGAAGGCGGACGCCCTCGCGGAGGACCCGCTGGCGGTGATCGACGCCCTCCGCCAGCAGAACGAGCGGCTGCGGTGAGTACACCGGATGTAGGCCACCCGCGGCAGGGTAGCCGTAGCCGCAGCCGTCCTAGCCAGCGTAGCCAGAGTAGCCGCCAGTCCAGTTCCGGGTGGACGGTGCAGCAGCGACAGCGGAGCCATTCCTCCGAGGCTGTGCTCGCCCTGGGAGCGTGGGTGCCGGTATATTTAGGGCTGGGAGCAGGGCGCGATGCATCACGGTCAGATCAGGAGTTACTGGACAGGCGGGGGCGGCTCGAGCGGCTCGTCTGAGGTTGGCGGAGGGCTGCGCTTTGACGGGCGGCCGCGGCCAATACATACTGCCCCTGAGGTCCTCATTGTCGGATCTTTCTCGCACATGGTGTAGATGCGTCTGCCTAAAAGAGTCCACATCGTGCGTGGCCCGATTTTTTTAATTTAAAACTCGCGCTCACCGCATGATGTAAGGCAAACATCTCGGGAGACATTGTGACGTCCAAGCCGTGACGCAAAACTGGAGCTTCGTGTTTCTCTTCTCTTCGTGTTTCTCTTTCTCTTGCGGGACGTCCCTCCGTGGTGGAAGCGGTGACTGACGTGGAGACGTCCCTCCGCCGCAGGCTGAAGCTGGCGGAGATGGAGCAGCGCCAGAGCGGCCTGCAGCAGCAGGTGGCCGCGCACGAGCACGAGCTCGACGGGCTCCGGGAGTACTTCCAGGAGAAGGTCAAGTTTACCGAGAAAATGTGAGTGTGGACAGCCGGGTGTGCTCTGTGGGCACGGTCCGACGACAGCGTGATGTTGCGAGTGCTGAGCGGCGCCGGCTCGTTTTTGCCGGTGTTGGGTGCGCTCCGCTCCATCCGTCACTTGCCAGATGAGTTGGCTGGCATCGCCTCGCGCACCAGCCGCCACTGTTTCGGTGCGGGCCCTGCATGTGCGGTATGCTATACTGCGCAACATCCGCAGCGAGCCGCGAGGTCTTTTTAAGAATCCCTGTATTTCTGGCCGGCCTCTGATTAAAGTAGTAGATCTTGTGCGCTGTTGTTTGGTAACGTAAAGTAGGGAGCACTCGGAAGGGCTTTAGCGGCCTTGATGCTAAGCCCGGGAAGAGCTGCTCAAAATCAGGCCATTTCAGCGCTACAGAAATCCTCCCGGAGTCGGCTTTTATTATTTTGGAGATGTTACTCATGTTGGAAGGACTAGTGTAAATGGATCGTGTTACTTGTCAAGGTGCATTTTTGTCTTTTGCAAGCAAGCATCCAATTAACGTGTGCACCCATCTGCGCGTCGTATCCATCCGGAATCTTACAAGCGCGAAAAGGCTGCAGTTTGTAGTGTCCACACGCTGCCGTCACTGTGTGCCCGGCCTGCCATCATCTCGTCCATCGCATGCCTCTACACTATATTGAGAATCGCCTTTGCGTGTGAAGATAGTGACCATTAATGGATAATTCTGGCGGCGATCGAGGCTGGGGGTCCGCGCCAACCTCAATCCGCCAGAGGTGCCGCCTGACCCTCTTCCGTCCGTCAGGTGCGACGTCTGACCCTCTGTCCGTCAGGTGTGACGTCTGACCCTCTCCGTCAGGTATGTCGTCTGACCCTTCTCTGTCCGTCAGTTGTACCGCCTGGCCCTCATCTGACCGTCAGGTGTGACGTTTGACCCTCTTCTGTCCGTCAGGTGCGACGTCTGACCCTCCTCTGTCCGTCAGGTGTGCCGTCTGACCCCGCTCTGTCCGTCAGGTGTGCCGTCTGACCCCACTCTGTCCGTCAGGTGTGCCGTCTGACCCCGCTCTGTCCGTCAGGTGTGCCGTTTGACCCTCATCTGACCGTCAGATGTGACGTTTGACCCTCTTCTGTCCGCCAGAGGTGCCGCCTGACCCTCTTCCGTCCGTCAGGTGCGACGTCTGACCCTCTGTCCGTCAGGTTGTGACGTCTGACCCTTCTCTGTCCGTCAGGTGTACCCGCCTGACCCTCATCTGACCGTCAGGTGTGACGTTTGACCCTCTTCTGTCCGTCAGGTGCGACGTCTGACCCTCTTCTGTCCGTCAGTGTGTGCCGTCTGACCCCCGCTCTGTCCGTCAGGTGTGCCGTCTGACCCCACTCTGTCCGTCAGGTGTGCCGTCTGACCCCGCTCTGTCCGTCATGTGTGGCCGTTTGACCCTCATCTGACCGTCAGAGTGACGTTTGACCCTCGTCTCGTCCGTCAGGTGCGACGTCTGACCCTCTTCTGTCCGTCAGGTGTGCCGTCTGACCCTCTGTCCGTCAGGTGTGCCGTCTGACCCCGCTCTGTCCGTCAGTGTGCCGTCTGACCCCGCTCTGTCCGTCAGGTGTGCCGTCTGACCCCGCTCTGTCCGTCAGGTGTGCCGTCTGACCCCGCTCTGTCCGTCAGGTATTCGGACGAGAGCGCCGCCTGATCCAGCAGCAGGCTGGGACCGAGCCGGCCGTGGATGAGCCGGTCCGCCGCCGCCGCCGCCGCCGCCGCCGGAGCCGCCGTACAGGAGAGAACAAGCCGAGCTGGATGGCAGCTTCACCGACCTCGGCCTGCCCGACGGCGATGACACTGTCGGGTCAGTGACTTGGCGCACGGCCGGGCGCCCTGCCACGGGTCGGCGGGTGTATCGACAGGCCCGCCCACCTGGAGCCAGGGGAGGGGTTCATTGACCTGCTGTGGGCTGGTGATGTAAGATGGTCGGTGGGCTGTCAGGATTTAGAGGCCTGTAAACTGGAATAGGCCAGATGTATTTCAGGAATCGATGGCCCATTGTGGGTTGCCGGTCTGGCATTATCCTGGGGTAGGATTATACGAGCTCGGCAATATATCCCACCCCGGTATAATTTCAGGCTGTATTTGGACTGTGCGGATTTGGCATTACCCAGGGGTGTACTATGTTTGTGACCAGCACGCAGGAATGCGTATACTACGTCGCTGTACAGGCTTGCCTCGTGACGTTTGTGTTTACTGACCTGTGTAACTGATATGTGGTGACCAGCGGCCTCAGGGCCAAACGCATTCTGAACACTGCTATTGTAGCGATGAGGTCCATGCGGCATTAGCGTAAGTTTATTACAAAGAAGCTCACCTCACCACAATAGCAGGTGTGAGAATAAAGTGTTTGTTAGGGTGCAGCTCCGTTTGAAGCGACTGCGACTGACGGTGTGTCGGTCACAGCCGCTGGTATCACCGGCCCCTGGCGTTGTCGAATTCCGTTGGAAGCGACTGCGACTGACGGTGTGTCGGTCACAGCCGCTGGTATCACCGGCCCCTGGCGTTGTCGAATTCCGTTGGAAGCGACTGCGACTGACGGTGTGTCGGTCACAGCCGCTGGTATCACCGGCCCCTGGCGTCGTTGATTGTTCATCTTTATCTGGTGCCAGGCCATCTGTCCTGCGGCTGCGCGTGGAGTTTGAGCGCCGCATCGCCACCTTGCGGCAGCAGCTGGGACGCAAGTTGGCCTCCCAGACGCGAGATGTCAGGACAGAGCTGGAGCGCAAGCACAGAAAGGAAGTGACCGAGCTCGAGAGGAAACACCTGACGAAAATGGCGCAGACGGTGGAGCGGTAAGCTTTGCTTTAACATCTCAGTTTGCACATATTTTGTTGGCTTGCATTGCGTCAGTGCGGGTAGTGTGGCTGTTTTCCAGACAGTAGTAGTTTTCCACAGCATGTCGAATGGACCCAAGAATAGCGGAACGTTCGGTCGACTTATCCAGTCCTCCCATCCCCTGTCCCGCTTCATCCTGCATCCTCGCGACACCCCGCTTGTCCAGGGCACGCTGCATGCGTCAGGCACGAGTGAGCCGAGAGCCCCGTGGGAAGAGGGACCCGACCGGGTACCCAGCGCCCATGCGCGTGTTAAGGCCCGGCGGTTGGCCCCCCAGGCGTATGCGAGTCTGCCCCACCGTTAACCATTTTCCTTCATCCCATAACCTGAAATGATCATTTCTGGTCGGAAGGGCTCTTATCCAAAAACAGACAAGCAAACAAACAAACCAAAATCGGTTAATTTTTGGGGTTTGTCTGCGTTTTGTGTTTTGTTTTTGTCTCTTTTTGCAAGCCTCATTTCATCGTCGACATGTACGTGTACAAGTGAGTCAATACGTAGACATGAACGGTCTGGATGTTAATTTCCAATGGTCTTTGGTTTTCTCCGCAGGTACAAGAAGGAAGCGGAGGCGGGCCGCCGGGAGGCTGAGAGGCAGATCAGCGAAGTCCGCAATCAGCTGATTCAGGAACACCAGGACGAAGTGCAGCGCCTGACACAGAAGCACCAGGAGCAGGTACGGGACAGGGCGGGCCGCTCCGCCGGTGTCTGGCCCAGGCCGTCAGGTGGTGCTGATCGGCGGCTCGCTGACGGACAGCTGACAGAGCGGGCCGCCCCGCCGGTGTCTGGCCCAGGCCGCCAGGTAGTGCTGATCGGCGGCTCGCTGACGGACAGCTGACAGAGAGCACGACACGTCACTGGCCGACCGGTGTCGTGCCTGAAGTGGGCGCCTGTTGCGACCGGTATCCGGTGTTCGGAGCGGGCACTACCCCACCCTCTGACCGGTCTGGTCTGGTCTGTGTCGTAGGTGGACCTCTGCGCTGCTCCGCCCTCCGACCGGACCGGTCTGGTCTGTGTCGTAGGTGGACCTCTGCGCTGCTCCGCCCTCTGACTGGTCTGGTCTGGTCTGTGTCGTAGGTGGACCTCTGCGCTGACTCCGCCCTCTGACCGGACCGGTCTTGGTCTGTGTCATAGGTTGACCTCTGCGCTGCTCTGGCTGGCCCCACCGACCGGACCGGTCCTGGTCTGTGTCGGAGGTGGACCTCTGCTGCGCCCGGCTACAGACGCTGGAGCGTGATAAAGGGGGTGGGGTGGGCAGGGAAAGGGAACATGGTTCAGCCGTGCGGAAGGACAGCGGGCCAGGGTAGCACATTGACCCCGGCTGGCATATGAACTGGGCCGGCGGGGCGGGGCAGCACGTGAGTGAGCTGCCGCGCCGTCCGCAGAAGGCTGAGAGCGCCGGTCCAGCCGAACGGCGCCGGCGACGCCCGGCCTGCGACGACGCAGCTGGAGGAGGAGGAGGGACGGCCGGCGCCAGATGCTGCTGGCCGAGCTGGAGAACCTCTCGTTCAGATGAATGAAGAAAAAAACCAGTCAGAGCAGGTGAGGCCCGCCGCAGTGGGACTCACGCACTCACGCCAACACCGCGGGAGACGACCAACACGGGCTCTCGGCCCACTCGTGGAGGCCCCGCACGGCAGTGGGACTCCACGCACTCACGCCAACACCGCGGGAGACGACCAACAACGGGCTCTCGGCCCACTCGTGGGAGGCCCGCCCGCGGTGGGCACTCACGGCACTCACGCACAACCACCGCGGGAGACGACCAACACGGGTTCTCGGCCCACTCGTGGGAGCAGCGCACGCGCGCGGGATATGACTACCATGGGCGTCAAACACCTCTCGTTTCCCCGCGGTGCCCGCCCTTCCTGCCAGGGTGAGAGGCAGGCGACGCCATAGAGCCTCAACAGCTGGGTGCGTCGTAAAGCCCCAATGACACACACACACACACACACACACACACACACACACCTCTCGTTTTCAAGCTAATAGTGTCATTTTCAAAATGGTGGAGCTCACGGAATGGCGGCCAACAGCTTCCGTCTCACTGGTGTCCAACACCACGCGATGCAATTCACACTTCCACCACATTTTAAAATGGAAGTTAGGTTTCAGCCTTTGGACCAAACGCACGCTGCTGTGCGCATGCGGGCGCGCTGTACTGTGACGACGCGCATAGCACGTGGCACGCTGCACATTGCTGGGTAGGGGCACGGGGCTTGGCGGGGCGGCCGAGGCCGGCGTTCAGACAGCCACGGCGCCGGTCTGCCAAGCCCCGCCAGGTCTGCCCGGTCAGAGAGCGCACCGCCTTCTTCGAGTGCCGACGGTCAGCTGACGCCCCGTCTGGCTCCGCTAACCGCTGCCGCCCGCTGCCTGGCGTGTGTGTGGGGCGGTGTGTGGCCGACTAACGCTCTCCGGACTAACCTACTAACCGCGCTCGCCGGCACCGGCGCTCCAGCGGCGATCAACAGGTTTTGCGGTTCGAGAGGGCGCGGCGGTAGGCTCGCGCGGGCCCAGGCCGCCGTCGGGGGGGGGGGGGGGGGGGCGGCCGTCTGGGGCATTTAGAAGCATGTGCCGCACGTCTTTCTTGCGCTGCTCGCGATCTTTTGACCTGCGTGGCCATGGCTGAGAGGGGGGGGGGGGCGGGGGGAGAGCAGCGCAGGATCTTGTAGCGGCTGCTGCCTGTTGGGTCCGCTTACGGCATCAGCTGTATGAGGCCGCCCGTAGCTCACGTAAGCCGGGGTAATGGGCGCCAACGCGCTCCACTTGCGCTCAGACGCGGTGCGGTGACACGGTTTGCCATCCCTGGTATTTTATACGCCGTCGATGGGAAGTCCATTTTGTAGGTCTCGTAATGACAGTTTGCTTGCATTTTTACTTAATTCCTGGCTCATTCAAGTTCGAGGAGGAGATAAAAGAGAGACGAAAAAAATAATCCGCCAGAATTTGTATTGTTACCTGCAGCCACTGCCATAGCGGGATGCGATCATTCTCACCATCTACTGTCTGTCTGGTCTGCTACCTGGTCCTCAATTGTCTGTTGTTCTCCCCTCCAGCGTCTTCCGTCTGGTCGGAATCTGTTACAGTTCTCGTTGCGTGTCCCGCGTCCAGGCGTATTTTCCCGATACCCTGGATCTCACGAGGTACGGACGCCATCACGTGTCTGTCGGTCGTCGTCCAAGTCAGCGCGTAAACGTGAAGGGTTCTCAAATTGCGGGGAGTGCCCAATGTTGTGCCGCACAACACACGATCATCTCTTCGCGATTTGAGAGGCTCATGCGACCCCTGCACCTCAATGCTTCAGTACCTGACTGACGCCCAGTTGATTTTAAATTCAGCCCAACCATATTCAACTGCCTTCGTGCTCCTGCTATTCTTCTCAGTTCTGGAAGCTTTGCTCTATCCTTCATTTTAATTTTTCTCTCTTAGTAGCCGTATCGGCAATGTAACCGAAGGACCCACGCCCGTCTCTGGCTTCCCCTTCCGTCTCTGGACCCCTGCACCTGCTGTGCGCCGGGAGCCCCGCCCCGCCCCGCCCGCCACGTCGCCGGCGCCCTCTCGCGGCCCCTGTAGCGGCGCTGCGCCCGCCGCCAGGAGGCGTTCCTGGAGCAGCAGCGGCTCTCGATGGAGCGGTTCGCGCGCCAGCAGGAGCGCGCCGTGCGCCAGCTGGAGGCGCGCCAGCAGGCGGCGCGCGACGAGGCGGCGCAAGCCGAGCGCGAGCTGGCGGCGCTGCGCGCGCAAAGCGCCGAGGCCGAAATCGGCCGCGACCAGGAGGTGGCCCGCTGGAAGCTGGAGCTGGCAAGCGGCTACGAGACCCAGATCAAGGTGAGCCGGCGGACGGCGACGACAGGCAGTGGCTGCCGCAGGTGGTGGGAGGGACTCCCCGGGGCTGGGCTAGGAGGACGCCGGCCTTCGGTCGGGTGGGAAGACGCCGCCTCGTGGCGAAGGTGGGAGGTTGCCGGGCTGGAGATGATTGGAGGCGGCTGATGGGACGAGCGGTGCTGCCGGCAGACGCGCTGCTGGAAGATGGAGTTTGTGCATCGGAAGCTGCGGCGATGGGCTGGACCAGTTACTGTTGGGCGGGGCCAGTTGCTGCTGGGCGGGGCCAGTTGCTGCTGGGATGGGCCAGTTACTGCTGGGCTGGACCAGTTGCTGGCTGGCCAGTGACCAGCTGCCTGCACGGTACACCAGAGGACAGATACCGCCGGTGGGTGTGGGGACAGGTGAGAGTCTGGTCGCCGGACTGACAGCACTGTAGGCGTCTGGTTCCGAGGACCAGAATCTCCCGAGCCTTTTCCATCAGCTTCGTGTTTCTCACGGAGTGACTTGCACAATGCACATGCACCAGTTGGTTGTAGGTCGCTTTTGGTATAGCCGGTGCGCACCACACCTCGAAGCCAGAGTGGGGCGCGGGCCGGGGTAGGCTGTGGTGTGTCTGTCGCACCCGCCGGCGGCCCTGACCCGTCTGCAGCGCGCAGGTGAGCTGAGCGGGCGGCGGGCGCGTGACCCTCGCCCCCGCTCCTGCATGGGGACACCGGACAGGCCGTGGCCGGCCTTAGTGGGTAGAAGAGCTTGGTGTGGCGTCGGCTTGACTGGTGCTCTGTCCGTCTGTCTGCCTGCGGTGGATTATGCTCTCCTGTCTGTCTCCTGTCTGCATACTCCCCTCTGGCCACACGGAGACCACCTGTCGCTTCGGCGCGAGCGCAGGCTCGTCGCGCGGTGGTTGCAGCCATCGCCGTTGTGTTGGACTGACCGAATTGCTGCGCCATTCTGTTTCCAGGTTGATGCCGGCCTTGGCTACAGCTCCGATCTTGTTTTCTGGTCCCTGGTTGATATTATGTGATGCCTCTCGTGCCCTGTCCAGGCGGGTGCTGCCAGTGGCAGTTGTCCGTGCTTTCATCTATTGCTGGTTGTACCGTTCTGCTCTCCCCCCCCCCTGTATACGTTGTACTGCGCGGGTCTGACCTGATCCCTCGATGAATTAAGATGTGTTCGGGTCGGTGGGCTCAATTTGACCCCCCGAACGCTTCTACAAAGTTATTTTTGAACGTGCAAGCGTAGCCATGCCAAAATTTGCATAGCTATAGGCAATTGAATTGTGAATGTCTTGGTGACAAATTTACATTTACCTTGTAAGGTCACTGACGTATGGTAGGTCAAAGTCGTGGGGTAGCTGTCAGCGAAGGCAGTGTATAGAGAATCGTCCAATCTGATGCGACAACGGAGTGCCAGACGAAGCCATCTGTGAGAGGGTATGTCAGGCAATAAAACAATGGGATTTAAAATTAGGACATATTGTATTGACCTAGGGTCAGGCAGGGAGTTTAAACAGAGGTCAAACCAATACGCCTCTTTACTGGAGAGCTTGCTTTATTAGGAGTAGTTTCTGATGCATATTACGAATTTCAACAGGAACTGCACAGAACTGCACAGGAACTCCCCGGACTTCTTAGCAAGCGCTCGGGTGGGCGGGGGTCAAGTTGACCCCCGAAGATTTTTCCGGAATGACTTTTAACTAAAAAATTTTGCATTGCAATAGCCAAGGGAATAGCGGATCGCCTGCTATCAAAAATTTGGATGTACCTTGTAAGATCGCTGGCCTACGACAGGTCGAAGTCAGGCCATGGATTCAGCGAAGACAATTTCTAGAGAACGGTTAAATCTGATGCAACAACGGAGTGTTAGACGAAGCTACACATCTCTGAGAAAGTTATTTAGGCAGCACAACAACTGTCCTAACCAATTTCATTGCCCAAGGATCAGGTATAAAGTCCTGAGCAAGGTCAAACCCAACCTGTTTTTGTTACCCTAGAGCTTGCTGTATGGAGTGTTTTCTTGTGCTCATTGCGAATTTATTAATAACAGGAACCGTATTATACATCTTCCATGAACTTTGTAAAGGTCAGAATAGTTCACTGATCTAAACTGACCCGGGCCAATATTGTGTTTTTGGACATACTGTCTGGCGTAATTTCTGCCGCGTATTCAAATGCAAAGCTCAAAGCAGTCTCGTATGATTTTGGTCACCGTGGCCTTCGAAAATCAAACAAGGTCACTGGCCTTAAATTAGCACAGGTGACCTCTTTCTGAGGGCAGGCATCTAAGCTCTGGGTAAATGGCCCCCCCACCCGAGCGAAGGGTATTGAACAGGCTACCCGGGCGCATGTGAAAGGTCATGGTAGGTCACTTACCTTAAATGACCCAGATTAAACGTTTGTCTTAGCGAACGTATCGTCTAGAGTCATCCTTAACGCTTGTTCAAATACAAATACAAAATATCTTGGGTTTTGGTCACCATTTCCTTCTCGAGGTCAGAAAAGCCCGTGGGATAATATGAACACTGGCGACGTCTTGCCTAGAACAGGTATTGAGGTTCAACGTGGTTGCGTGAAGAGGTCTTCGGAACTTTTGACACCAGTCTTGAGTTTGACCATGTTAGCTTTTTTGACCCGAAGGTCGTCATCTATGGACTTTAAACTTTGGCCGTAGTGAGTTGATATACAGACCAACCCACCCTGTGAACTTGGTGCCTCTACCTTTTACTTTTTGAGGTCTCAGGGGAGTCAGATTGATCCCCCACCCGGGCGAAGGGTATTCAACCGGCCGCCCGGGAGCGTGTCAAGTCTCCGTGTGTTTCCTCAACCCGTCAGCAGGAAGTCGGCACACCGCCGCCAGTCAGTGGTCGTCACCCAGACGATACGGCGCGGTGGCTGTCCGGACGTTGGCGCGCGTCGGCCAGGTGGAGGGCGGGAGCGCTGGCCGGCTGGGCGTTGTGACGCTGCACACATGCTCTGGCAGCAGGCCGCCACCTGGCGCGTGCGGGGACGTCGGTGCCGCGGGCCTGGTCTCGCCGTCGTCCGAACTTCGGGCCGCACTCTGCGGCCGTCATGCGCGCGCTGCTGCTGACTGCTTGGTCCGGTGGCCTCAGTCTGGGCGTCGCGGCGCAGCCTCTCAGGAAGCTCCTCTCCAGACCGTGCTGTTGTCCCCTCCCGGAGGTGTGACGTCACAGGCGCGATCGTCCGCTGTCTTCGCGGTGATTCTGATCTGTGATCCCGACGGCCCGACCTACCGTGGCCCGGATGGGGCCGTGATCCACGCGGCTGGCTACGCTGGTGGGTCAGTGGGACCTCCCATGGCCAGGACTGGTCGTCTGACCTCCCGTGACCCGGACCCGCCGCAGGCTGTTCTCACCGGGGTCAGTATGATCTCCCATGGTCCTAATGTGTCTGCCTGACCTCCCCGTGACCATGACCCGCCGCAGGCTGTTCTGCCGGGGTCAGTCTGGACGAGGAGACGGCCAGCTCTGTGGCGCGAGGAGACGGCCAGC